AACAAACCCAGTAGTTCCAGTGCCCTCTCGAGTGCCAGGTTGCCCTGTCGGCTACGTTGACTGTGGAACCTGCGTATGTGTCCCACGTGGCACATGTCAGTGGTGTCCGGGTGTGTCCTTTATTGGAAACTCTTCAGATGAAAGCAACCGAAGGCTATAAACGCTGACCTCTGACTTGTATTGTATTTGAGTGACTTGTACGTGTGCATTCTCTTGCGTGTAAAGCTGGCATTTGTACAGTCGTGCTTTACTCACGAACGCCAATGATTCTCTGTGCAGGAGGCTACTGGTTGTCTTACTCTGCCACATGTCGCCAAGAACGGAGGAAGTTTGCACAGACACACATGCAGGTGCTTAAGCTTCCATCTTGCTGACAACCAGCTCCAAGCTCCACATGCAGAGGGCTCGAATGACATGTCTGAGGCCTGAATCGAACTCGGCCCACAAGAGCTGGGCGACCGGAGATCGCACAAAGCGACCAGCCAAGAAACGCGTCCAGTCCAGCGCGTTGACGGAGGTTGGTGTCGTTCGACGTGGTTTGCGTCGTGGTCCGGCCAGCCACGAGGAGAAAGTAGACGCGTTTTGCCGCATGTAGCGGGAGGTTGATAGATGGTTGCCTCATGGTTTTGTGCCTAGCACAGCACAAGTCTTTAGGATTCTAGGATCTTTGCAAAGCAGCGGGCCCACCATTTGATACAACACACACGCACCTGAAACACGCTGCCAGGTGTCCAGCCTTGGCTGAAGCGGGATGCTTCGACAAGGCAAAGCTATTTAGGTCAGCATGGCTTGGAGATTGGGGACCAAAAGGCCTAGATGTGAGAAGAACTCTTCGCATGTCAAAGAATCAGGTCGACGAGCCCCGTCCTCTCTGTAATCAACTGGGCCAGAGAAGCAACTATGTAGCGTGAGGTTTACCATGGTTTACCTTCAACACACATGGAAGATCATGAAAGTAGAAAAATCCTGTTAGTAAGATATTCCTCCTTCATCCTGCTTCATCCGGTTTCCTTCGCTGAGCTACCGAGCAGGTGACCCCAACTCCCGCCGTTGAAAAACCCCACCCTTTTGGACATCGCCGGACCGGAGGAGTTCACCTGCGAGCGCTGCTGCGACACCAGGACGACCGGGGTGGGGGTAGAGTCGAGCACCCGGAAGGGCCCAGCAAAGGACGAGGGGTCCGGAGTCTTGGTGGAATCGGGGACTGGATATTTTGGGTCGGCCGCGGCAGCCATTTGTGCCAAGATATAGCAGTGGTCGGTCTGTTTTTGGTGTAGCTGTCCACTTATTCGACTACTGGCCCAATTGTGTTCAGAGGACTGAAAAAGCACTGCCCAAGGTAAAAGGATCGGTCTTGGCATCGGCATCATCTTCAGCAAGTGTTTGTATTAAAAGCTTTTCTGTCAATTTCACCAGCCACTTCACCTAGCCACAAGGGCTTTCCATAGGCCTGGCCGTGGGTCAAAAAAAAGGAAAAAACCCGCGTTGACCACACATCTCACATGAACAGAATTGACTTATCATCAAGGGAAGTCAACCTACGAAGGATTTTCGGGTGCGGGGCCATTGACCCAGCGCCATTTCTGTTTGTCCCGACGAGTTGCCGCAGGGCCATCCCGGTTGGGGATCTCAGCTGTTGGATGGGCGACATCCGCTTCCCCACCTGCTGTGGCCTCACGAAGTGCGCGTCCGGGCGGTCCCGTTGGTGTGGCAAGCGTGTTTGGGGGCGGGGTGGGATGTGGGGTAGGTATAGGTAGATGCTTTTTTTGCAGTAGCTGGTCGCTTGTGCAAGCTGAGCAGTGGATTTTTGGACTTGATGTCTATAGGCGAAAGCTAAAGATGCTGAACTCTCGTACGTCGTACACCTTTTCTAGAGTTTGTGGCCCTGCCTTTGGTGGGCTAGCAGCTAGAGGAACGTATAGGAACGTACATCGCTGAGCAGACCATTTGCTTTCTCATGGCTCGGTGGTGAGGGAGTCTCCCATCTGAATTGGGATTTTCGTGGCCTGGCGGGTGTGGCGTGGCTTTTGGGGCAGGATTGTTAAATATGAGTGTTGGTTTGTTTCAGAACAAGCTAGGTATACGCACACCGATTCCGGCTTTTGAAGTAGCAAGCGCCAGAATTTCTGTCCTAGATATTGACAGACCATGTTTTTGTGCCTGAGAAAAAACATGGATTCTTTTTGAAACCTTCCTGGCAGATGTCTGGTTCCCTCATTGGCAGACATGCTTCTTGGTGATACTTTCAGAGTCGGGTCACCACTTTCACAACTCTCCAGGGTGAGTGGACGTCGCAAGCGCGTGCCAGGTTGCGCATGCAGGCGCAGGGTCAACGGCGGCGTTGGCAGGGGTCAAATTCAAAGGTGGGTCACATGACAAGCTGTGTGCAATTTGGACGTCTGCTCACCTGCATTTCAAGGCCAAAACTGGCCCAAGACTGAGCATGCTTCTAGCTGCTACTAGCTTTTGTATCTTTTGTGCCATGGATAGACAAGACTCCTTTCTTCCTCGCCTGTTGTTTCCTGTTGTTCTTACAGTCTACTTGAGAGCTCCAGTTGAGGGGGGATCTCAAGTTCATGACCCCTAAGAACTTCAACACCACCACACCCTTGGGATTTCATCCCACCAGCAAACGACATGACGGGCGTTGCGCTCCACCGGAAATCGCTTTCCCACTGCTTTCCCACGGGAATGGCATCAGCCCTGGTTGGCCGCATGGAACTTCAGCTGCGATGGATGCGCCGTTGGAGCGCACCCCCCCCACAAATGCATCGGTCAGGTGTAGTGGACCACGTCTAAAGATGTGGCTTCTGACCGATCGGAATGGTAAGCTCTTATTGAGAAGTACTTTAGGACCAAACATGACAGTTGCGGAGGATCTCCATCCCAACTCACATCCTTCGCCCTTTTCTTTACCCACCAACCCGCGATGTCCCGTCCGCGGCCTTCGGCGCGCGTGGAGGCTGCCACCATGCTGCCGGCCATGGATCACTTGTCGACCCCGGCCACGTGCCCGCCCAATGCGCAGGTGCCACGGTGCGGAGGACGGTCGCGGTTCGGAGAGGATGGGGCAGTGCCAAGTTCCAAGCTCCAACGGTGCGATGAGATCTTTTGGAGGCCGGAGGCTGAAGCCGTGGTTCTTAGCAACTCCATGAATACTCCCAAGGCCAAACACTATCAAACAGTCTGAAGCCGCTGTTAGCTGTTAGCTACAAACCGATGTTGATCCATCACATCGGTAAAAACCAGGCTGAACCATTCGGTTTTGAGCCCCTTCACGGCCAGAAGCACTGCTTCGACGCTTATTTCCCCTGCGAGCGGTGTCCGGCACTGAGGAAGTTCTCGGGCTCTTTGGACCTCTAAGCCGGTAGGGCTTAAAATGATACCAGCATAGACCCCAAACAGTTTCTAAACGATTCGTTTGGACCAATATTGGTCAAAAACGATTTCTTGGTACCCCAACAGTAAACTGTTTGGGGAAAAAGAAGCAACTACCCTCCGACTCACTAACATGGAAGTGGAAAGCCTTCCCAGTGGCCAGAACGTCCATTTCCATGTGATGTGTTCGTCCGAGTGCCAAAAGCGAAGAGCACATGAGAACCACGTCTCACATTAGGAAAACATCTCAAGCAAGTTATGGCCTTGCCGCAGGCTTCTGCGTTGGTACTGAAACGCCCAAGATGCAGGTGCTGGCTATGGATCGGCGTTTTGGTTTTGCAGGTAGTGCTGCCGTGCTGATGCTGGTGCAGGTGCAGGTGCTGGCTGTGGATTGGCGTTTTGGTTTTTGCAGGTGCTGCTGCCGTGCTGATGCTGGTGCAGGATGGTGCAGGTGCAGGCGCTGATCAGCGCTTCGTTTTGTGGGTGCTGCTGCCGTGCTGGTCCAAGCATGACATCATGTCATGTGAGGGACGACAGTGTCGACATCATGTCATGCAAGGGATGACATCATGGCATGCCCAGGGATGACATCATGTCATGCCAAGGATGACAAACCTATAGATTTGGAGGACCTGTGGGGTCGCATGATAAAACAAGACAGGAAGGACATAAACGTACAGTGAAGGAGGGGGGGGTGCGAACCAGGCGCGGCTTGTCATGTTTCTCGCTCCGCCCCGCTCGCGCACCAACAAGAAGGAACATGAAAAAACTATGTGGCAAAGTTGTTCTGCTCTATCTTCAGATCCAGGTTATGTGCCCTAAGATTCCTCCAAGAAAGTATGTTTCCCCACGTGGCAGATCACCACAGGATTTTGGCCTGTGTGTCTCATCCTAAAAACGACATCATCTTTGAATTTCCCAAGAAACCCCAGGAAATCCCACTCTTGAGTCCAAGAGTTCCAAGAACATCTTCGTGTTTTGCTCCCCTTGTCTCGGTCCCAGAGAGCTGGGCCGCGCTCTCGCCCGTCTCGTCCGGCTCCTCGTCCCCATCTCGTCCGTCTCGTCCGGCTCCTCGAGGTTGCGACACCCGACGAGGGGCTCAAGGGGATCTGGCCTGTTGGGTGCGCCCGGGGGATGTTCACCGTACGCCCAGGTGCTGGCGACAGACACCCATACAAAGTGTGAGGACATTGTATAGAAACCATGTAGAACAATGTGTATACTTTAATTTTGCAAGCGGTGTTGTTCCCTTTTTTTGCACTTACCTACCATGGTAGGAATGGGAATGACGAAGATGTAAGGCGGGGGGTGAGCCCAAAAGCCCTTGTTCACTGCCACGGGCTGCTTCCAACCGCCGTTGATTTAATAGGCTTTACTGAACCACCATTGCTTTACTAAGGATTTTACACTACAAACCAGGTCAACTTTTCGTGGCCTTGGCCCAGGGTATGTGTTGTTTGGCGTTTTCCGAGCTTTTGCGACTTTGTGCATCATCCAGCTTGCCAGCCTGACACCGCGCCCATGGGCCTACGAACCCTCAGCTGGGGCACTCAGGAGAGGTTGGGTGGCCGGGCAGTGGGAGGTGTTTGGGAGTGTCTTAGTGAACACCAAATGGTGTTTGATTTCTAGAGCCTTTTGCGCAGGATGGGAATGTTGATTTTTTCCAATCTGTTTTCGAACATCATCGACTGGATGGTCACCTTAGGTGTTTTTCTTTCACTTGATCACCTGACTTTGTCCACGACTCCTATGCTGAGGCTACAACTTCTGTTGTGGGCTAATGCCCTTTACCAGTGGCGAGCGGATCTCATGGTAAAAGGCCGCTTGCTTGTGGGTTTGTGGCGGAGAATAAACATCATGGGAGAGGATGGATAGTACATGCCAGGCATGCTTTTTCGTTGCCTTGCGCCGCGCGGAGCTTGTGGTGGAAAGAAACAGATCATGGGGATACTTCCAAAGACGGCCAAGCGTAGAGATCTTCGCTGCCACTTGCGATCCGTGCGGAGCTTGCGGCGTCGTGTCGGGTGAGAGACGGTGTTTCTGTTTGGGACGGTTGCTGCCTCCATCCAACGAAGGGTCATGCTACTGGTGCGCTCCATCCTTTTGCTCTTCTTCCTTTCTTCAACACGCGCCGAGCAAGACAGGAACGGAACCCCAGAAGCGTCGTTCTTCACGTGACAGGCGTCACCACAAGAGTGTACCGGAGCCTTCGATAATTTGAATAGCTTCATCAAGGATTATCCAGACCATCCATCCATCAGGCGGTTTCTCGTCCAAAGCGATGGATGCTGCCAAAGACTTCTTGGAGAGCACTGAAGAGAGGGCCGATCTCAATCAGCCACCTGGCGCGAATTCTTGACGTACCTGCGGTTTTTCGATGTTTTTCGGGGTGCCGCCATGGGTCTCGAAACAGGTCTCGAAACGGAGCATCAACTGAGGTTAGTGGACGATCAGTTTTCTTTTTTTCTCTCTCTCTCTCTCTCTTTTGTTGGTGAGACATAGTGAGGTGTAGTGAGAGACATGGTTCTCATGGATCCTTCTCTTGGGATCTACAGATGAAGCTTTTGAGCATTCTACCGTTGAAGTGAACATTGTACCAGGGATTCCACCCAGACATGGACTCGATCTGAACCCATCCAGCTTTCATCTTTTCGCCACCCAATCCACACGTTCCTCGGTCGCCCCCCCGGACGGTCCCGTTCGGTTGCGCGGCCGGGGCGAGCGGCTCGAGCGACCTCGAGGTATTGGTTCTCCCCGCTGACCGTGGCCGCCTTCGTGGCCGAGATCACCGAAGGGGCCACCCCGCCCGCGCGCAGCGCTGCCGCGGCGCTGGTGTCGAGTCCGTCGGTCTACTTCAGCTTGCCGGAGGAGAGCAGAGCGGTGGGAGTGGAGGTGTGAGGCCTGCTATGGCACCATGGGTTTTGACTCAGTTTGGACTTCCATTCGGGTCTCTGAAAGAAGCAAAGCAACCCAAAGATTGTATCAATGATTCTGATCCTGGAGGAACTTTTGAGGACCAATTAGGCACATCAGCTTCACCCACCACGGTCATATTCGATGCAGGACACCCGGAAGAACTGCAAGGTCTTGGACTATGATCGTCAATGGGCTTCTGATCCAGGCAACGCAGCCTGGACCAATTCGAGACTTTTTTTGCTTTAAATCTTCATCACCAGTTCGGGTGTAGTTCGACAGGTGTTCTGCCGTCATTCCAGGCAGGCAGTTACTGTAAACAGAGCATTGAACCGGACCCCCCACGACGGCCTCACACACTACATACCTGACGGCCCGCAGCCCCCGGTCCCGGCTCACCGGAGGCTTTGTGTTCTACGACTTCAATGCACCTGAAGAGTTGCCCCAGGAGCTGAGCCGATTCGCGCCGATGCGCCGATTCGGTGATGCGGTCGAGTCGGATGGTCGACTCCTTGGTGGTCGCCACGTCCATTCGTATGAATGCTTTTGTGAATGAAACATATGGACGATGATATTTTGCTATTAAGAATTTTCAATTTATTCAAACATGTAAGATATACAATGGCCCTTTATTCATCAATAATTTATATAAATAATACATGGCCATTAAGACAAGAAATAAGATAAGAGAAAGATAAGTATCCATTAATGATAAACGATAAATAGACTATAGCATTTGACCAGGATTCATTTATTAAATCAAATAATCCTTCATTGAGATTATAAGAAAGAACATAAGAAATAAGATGAAATAAGAAATACATTGCCATTCATTTTAACAATATATTTTATAGAAAATGAATTGCAGTTAAAGATACAAACTAATATGAATGAATAAGAGACAATAAGTAATCCACATTTTTATTTATGAAGTGTAATAGAACTAATTAAAATGATGGGAACAAATTAAGAGATAGATGGACAAATGTGGGCTGAGACAATAAATCCCGTAAAATCAATTGATAGCGTTCTAGCCCACATTTGTCATTCATTCTTTGGAGTGCAAGGGATCAAGTCCTATTTACCAAGGACTCGACCCCACATCCTTTATGATTATAGCTTGAGCCGCGAAGTGATGAGGGGCAAACTTGCCAGAAGTGTTTGCCGAAAGATCTTGGTTCGATTTCCAGAAAATCCGCCCGTGGCGGTGCTCTGACTCGCTCGCTCGTTCGTTCGTGTGCCTCGCTTGTGCGGAGCGAGCGTCAAAACGCTCGCGAGCTGCGAGGAGCTTCGAGGTGCCTTCGACTTCATTTTGATCGATCCGCCCTTCATCACACGCGAGGTGGGATGGGTGCAAAACATGAGGATGTGTTTGATGGGAGAAGACCAGTCGGACTTTCTATTTTGGAGCTCCTCGCTAGATCCTAGATCGAGGAATACTGTCCTGTACTGTGGGGGGGGAGAGTTTAGCAATTGATTTGCCTATGGCACAGGGTTGCGACGGTGCATGGTCATGAATGCTCCAAGTTCAGAGTCGGAGTGTGTCTCAGGGTTCTTCCTAGAACAGTTGAGCTGTGTTGAGTTTTAGTTGTTTTCAGACACATGCCCATGTTGTGAGACCTTTGTGCGAGAATCTGGAAAAAACGTGAAGAAGCCTCACAACCTCTGGAGGATGAGGATCTCTTTACCTTGACCCTTTCTGAAAGCGTCTAATCTACTCTCCTGCCCAAAACTGGCATAAGAGAACCAGGCCTGGAAGACAGGTTCCCTCCACCAACCTGCATGCCATGGAGGGGCAACGAGGGGCATCTATTTGGTTTGCATGGGAGTGTCTTTTGTTCCATGACCTTGCCAAGGTTTGGGAAAAGTATGCAATCACAGCACGCTGCTTTGGCATGAGGAGGGCTGCGTGAATGCCACCCAAATAGGGATGGTGGGCAAATCTTCTCACTTTGAGACCCAGACCCAGATGACACATTCATTTGCTGATATCATGTGGGAACTAAGTGGCGATCACGACCCTGCACTCCCTCCTGACCCCCAGTTGAGGGCCCCTCAACAGTGCAACGAGCGGCTTGCGTGGAACGGAGTAAAACAAGTTGAATGCCTTTACTGCGGATCAACAAGCACATCAACCTCGCCGTTTCCGATATATATGATGCCTTTTTGGTTTCTTTCCAGGCTGGCATAAACTGGATCTTGAAGTCACATTCACTTTGGATTGATGTCATCCTCCTGCCATTTGCTACCTTAACCCTCCACCTGAATCACTTATCTTCCGCACGCCCTCACACGTCTTCCGCACACGCATTCCCTCCAATCTGAGGCTACTTGGCCTGTGATGGAGCTCGCTTTCTTTGTACAACGATTGCAGAGAACGCGAGCATGATGTCCGAACTACTTGGACTACATCCAGCTGCTTTGACTGCAGTCTTCGAGAACGATGCGATTCGGTGTTGGGATTTTCGGTGAAATCCAACCAAGGAGAAGTAGATCAAGAAAAGCTTCATACACACAGACGCACATCTCTCATCATCTCTCTCTCTCTATTTTAGAACTCCAAAGACTATTTTGGCACCACCGAAGCAAAGGAGATTCTTTTTCGGAACCATTTTGAAATGGTCGACCGGACTCCCGTATGTTGATGTCGTTTTCGGGGGGGTCGTTCTTTCGGTTCCTGTGGGTCCTTCGGTTCCTGTGCTCCATCGGAGGTCGTTTCGGAGGTCGTTTCTTCGGATTGGTTGGGTGGCCGGTGGTTTCACCGGTGGTGGCCGGGCCGCGCCTTCTGGGTGTTCAGGTGAAGTTTCGACCAGGAATCCCCAACCTGGTCTATCAGTGGCTTGGAGAGATGCGTGGAGAGAGCGCATGGGTGGGGATGGGAGGTTCTGGCACCAGACATGGGGGTATGGCACCTGTTGTATACAAAGCTTGTACGTCTCCCATGTAATTGCCTTATTGTGGTATGCTAAGGGGATGCTGGTAGTGCAGGGTGGATAGAACTACTCATACTCATGTATCCTGTCCTCCATACTTGACAACTGAAAGAGGGTTTATTCACTTGAAAGCTGAAGTCGGGCAGACAGTTCCCCAATAACAAGGTCAGCTCAAAGGGGAAGAGTCAGGAGAAACACCTTGAGAGAGGTTTCCTCAGTTGAATCCTTGCTTTGATGTTTCTTTCTCTTAGATCTCTTTGACATTTTCAGGTATGATTTGAAGACATAGATGCTCGGTGATCCAGATTGCGCACTCATTTCCATTTGATTTGTTCTGGCACTCCAACACCACCAGACCAGCACACACCTTGACCACGGATCATCACCATGGTGGCCAACACATTTCTGCAACACGCTTTCTGCAACTAAGTTTCTTCTTTTGGCCGCCTGGGCAGGTACAGCATCTACGTGAATTACCCCTCGCAGCGCCTCGAGGAGTTGAACCCTGAGATCGACGAAGAAGACTGGCAGGCCCGACGACCACGCGGTAAAAAACGCCGCAAAAACGGAACGCAGGGATGCTCGGTTCCACAAGGTGCAGACCTACCCAAGGGGATGTTGGGAGGGCGCAAAACAGATGATGGAACATTGAATGAACACATGTGAACGCCCACAAGCAGACACAAGCTCCCCTCCCAAAAAGGTCTAGTTCTGAACAAATTCCCTTGTGCTCAAGGGCGCGTGCCCGTGCGTGCGAAAGGCGGCGAAGCCGGTGGCCGTGGCCTTGTCTGAGCCGGAGCGTCCGCTGGGAACAGGTCAAGGCACACCGCTGGACACAGAGGAGCTGCTCCGCCGCGTCGCGCTGGGGGTGTCCAACGATCAGGAGGGTGGCAGGTGGATGGTGGCAGATCTTCACGGATCCGTGGTTCACATGACATCCACGTAGTAGAGGGTGACCAAACTCCTGCTTCTT